GGTTCGGCCGCACATGGAATACTGTTCCCATCTCTGGGCTGGGGCTCCCCAGTACCAGCTCCTTCCACTTGACCGCATCCAGCGCAGAGCGGCTCGAATCGTCGACGACCGAGTGCTTTCCGATAGGCTCGATTCACTGGCACTGCGAAGAGATGTTGCATCTCTTTGCATTTTATTTCGCATATACCATGGAGAGTGCTCTGGGGAATTGTTCGGATTAATCCCAGCCGCCAAATTTCGTGAACGTACTACGCGGCAAACGTCCCGATACCATCCACACCATCTGGATGCTTGGCGTTCCACCACAGTACGTTTCAAAAGGAGTTTTCTTCCGCGTACAACCTCTCTGTGGAATAGTTTACCACCGGCGATTTTTCCGGACCGATACGACCTGGGGACCTTCAAGAAAAGAGCTTACTCCTTTCTAAAGGGCCGGCAACGCACCTGCAATTCCCCTCGTGTTGCGGTTGATCATGGGCGGCGGTAGTCACTTAACATCAGGTGAGCCGCATGCTCGTTTGCCCCCTCTTCTATAAAAAAAATGATAGACTAAGTATAGATTTCTTATAGTCTTAACGTATTTATTTGTATAATACTCTTTGTTACAGTCGTATGATGTTTTCATATATCATCAATCATGTTTTAATCATCACATATTTTTATCTGATAGTGCGAAGCTGCAGCTGTATTATAGCTGCGATGTCGGCGAGTGAGTGACATATGCAGGAGCCGATTGTATTGCTGATATAGGGCCAATTTGTACTGTTTATTTTGAATACGTGAACAACTAAGTTTCATTTCCGGAGAATGGTAAACAGGACCTTCTTTGTTTTTTTAATATTTGAGAACGTTTTTTCTTTTGTTCTTTTGAAAAAGTTTTCTAAGCTCGTAAATCATTTGATTCTAAGCTCACGGACCTCAAGATACAGGTTTATCCTAGCTTGGGGTCCAATAGAAAATATTTATATATAAAATATTAACGTGATGGCTAGCTGTTTTCCGCTGTTTTCAATCAAATTCATTTTCTTCAATATTTAACGCATAAAGAAAACTATGAATGATATAGACTTGACAGTCACATAACTTAAGGTTGTCTTTTATTGTCATCGATTATAGAAAGTCAGCTTGGCTAACTGCGCAGTTTCATTTACTATCACTTGGATATTTGAATCATATTTTGTTAAATCCTGCTGCTGATTTAATATCACAGTATATATTTTTAGTATTTTAATATTTTTGTAATATGTTTGTTGATATATAAGTAATATTTTAATATGTTTGTTGTTTTGTTTTTATTTATTTATTGGGTCGGCACGACCGGGGAAGGACCACGCTCCCACAGAATACTAGCGTAAAATAGCAGCTCAACGCTGCTGTGTTTTATATTGGTAAGTGTAGAGAACCGGAGACCCTTTTGAATGGAAAGGAGGCATTCCATCTTATTCTTTACGGGTGACAACGTATCTGCCCTTTGTATTCATAATCGAAGATATATGTAGATGTCTATGGGCCACAGCAACCACTTACCATCAGGTGGACTGTGTGCTCGTTTGTCACCCTTATCCTATATGAAAATATATATAATATGCATGTTATACTGACTTCGATTATATAAAATAAAAAAGGAAAGAAAAGCTCTACCTATTTAACGTACCAAACATCACAAAAGTGTTTGATTTTTTAAAATTAACTTTACCTACTTGTCAATAAAAAAGCATTATTTTTAAAGATGTAGTAATGCATTCTTAGCTGCCAGTAATATCGAATATTATTCGTCGTGCTTTGGCTACAAATGACATTCAGTACGTTTTATCTCATGAATTTGCTGCTATGAGTAAACTTTTGTGACGTATAGTAGATTCATCATTCATGAATCATGTTTTAAAATCGAGACGTTACCTCCAACTCTGACATATCCACAAGACACCTAAGTAACTTTGTTTATGTCAAATCAATTTTAGAAAACAGGCCAAGGTTCTATTTTCATGGAAATAATTAATTGTAAATCTGTCACTATGGAAATTAACAGTTAAGGGAAAACTTTAATTCTATTCTTCGTTGGCTGTTACTCGGCTACATCGTTGGGCGTAAATTAAACTTTAGTTGTATTTGTTTTAAGGTGTCCTATGTCCTGACGTAATCGACTTCTATGTCAATTGTCATCAGAATTCGTCCATGATCAATCTGTTCAGTTGTGACTGAAAGACAAACTTTTAATTTTTATATTTACAATATAACAAGATGATCGTTATATTGTAAATGTAAAAATTATACTGAGTTGATACATAACTACTACATGTATTTACATAAAGCGTTATAATCTCTCTATATATATTATTTTGCGAATTGTCTCGCTAAAACTAAAAATGGCTCGTTAGATTTTGATGAAATTTTGTGTGGGTTTGAATGGGTACCGAGATGGCATAGATTCACGTTTGGACCCGGTAGGTGGCGCTGTTATCATGATCCAGACATCACTTGTGCGACACGGATGCGGATCGCTGGTACTTCAATAAAAAAAGAGGAGCTAATTTTTCAGGTGAAAATTATAACCAACGCATGAATGTTAATTTTATTTCTATTTATGCACTTCATAGAGCTTTCACAATTGCAATGTTTGTCAAACGTATTTACAACTCATTATGACATCAGACTATTCTGTCTCTGCTCTATTTTTTTTAAACTGAAGTCAAAAGCAAACTTACAGTCGACCTGAAGCACGGTAATTTTTATAGATAATATTACCGTGCCTGAATTTAAGTGGTTGCTGCAGTCTTTGGACACCTCCAGCGAATTTCAAACTAGAAACACCACGGATGCGTTGACAACTCTGAGCACTAAAATGGAATGCCACACTGTCTCTGATAATGGTGTCTCTCTACAACTTGTAAACCGAAACACAGCAGTGTAAGCAATGCTTTATACGATTTTGATCTACGAGTGAGAGTACGTTAGTAATAGTTAGGAACTAAACTCGACAGTCCAGCAAGGAAAGAAAGGTAAGAATTAGAAATTCGTCATGTGTGTAAGCGTATTCTTGAAAAGGCCCTATCTATCCAGCAGTGTATCGAAAGATACTAGATATAGATATAGACAGATTTTACGCGGTAGAACCACTTTGCAGATATATTATGGTTGAAGCATGAATTGGTCGGACCGGGGAAGAATAACGCTCTCACAGAATACTAGCGTAAAATAGCAGCTTAATACTGATGTGTTTCGTGTGGTGAGTGTGGAGAACCGGAGACCCGTTTTACTGGGATCGAGGCATTCTATCTTAGTCCTCACGGGTGACAATGCATCTGCATTTTGATCCTTAAATATAAATGTCTATTTATGGGGCTAAGCATCCACTTACCATCAGGTGGACTGTGTGCTCGTCTGTCACCTTTATTCTATAAAAACAGTTGATAATAGAAGAAGAAAATAAAAAATACTAGAGTTTTTTGGTTCGATTTATGTGATCCATTTAGGTTTTTAAGTAAAACCTTTAAGGTATGGTTTGCAAGTTAAAATATTTATTAAGTGTGATTAAAGTATTATATATGAAAAAACCTTTTATTACTTATTTTTAAAACGTCATCTCTTTGCACTAGTAATTTCTCTTGTATAAAGAAGGCGTTTTACAATTTACAAATTTTATATTTTATAAATTGCTCATGGAAAAAAGAGTAAAAACAGAGACCTGGAACATTTATTTATAGGTCAAATGCTTTTGATTTCTTAAATTAGTTAAGAAGTCAAGTTTAAGCCAAGCACTACTGGGTCCACTCCTCTTTTGTGTTCGGTTTAAAGAGTAAGAGCCAGTATTAAAATGAGCCACGAGATTATTACATGTCCACAAGCATACAAAGCGTCTCCAGCGTTATTTTTTGAGATCGGTTGCAGGCATTTATAGGCGGCAGTAGCCACTTATTGTCCTTTGGACTATTAGTTCGTTTATAAGTCTAATATTATAAAATCACGACGGTCTAGTGGTCGAGCGCGACTACGGATGGTCCTGAGATTCCCGGATCGGGCTAAAATCAGTTATAGGGTTTTTCTCTCAAGAAATTCTCAATAGCAGCCCGAATTCAGGAAGTTTGCACTGTTTCACCCCAATGCCTGTGAAAGCTCGTAAAGACCTAGATCCTGCGTCTGTTCTCTTACAGATCGCGAGAGATTACCGTCCAATCGGACTATGAGAGTGAGAATAAAGAGAGTGATGTGTACTATAATTCTGTCCTGTTCCAATCCAATTTTACTAATGTAGCCAGTGCGTCAATAAAATAAGTATTTTATTTATTATACATAGGATAATTCATATAAATAAAATATAATTTATTATAGTCGAAAGCTGTTATACTTCCTAGAACCTATTATATTCCCTTTGGTTTATTCATTTTTACCCTGTCGAAAATAATTTTCTATGGAACAGAAATTATGGGTTGGATGGCTGCTACCATAATTCGGTCCGTCGTTAAGATATTCCAATTGGTAAATAGATAAAAAAGCATGTAGACTGACTTAAAACATACATCCCGGTTAGTAAACATAACAATTCAGTAAGTTGTGCCGCATAAATGGAATATCTCAGACAGACATTTGGATCTATTTGTCTGTAGTGAAACGGATTCGATATTAAGCATATGTGTATATTATATTTTCGCGGTGTATTAAATCAGGTGGTGGATGGCGCGAAACACAGTTTGATTGCGGCGTTCATACTGAATAGACGATATAACGCTCTCGCGCTTGAAGGAGTTTGCCGCGCGCGCTTATTCGAAATTCAAAAGTGACAGTCCAATTTTTTCCATAAATTCCATTTTAACTGCCAGTGTTTCTTTTTTGAACTTCGTGACAATGGACAGATTATAAATACATACGAAATTTATGTTAGACGACACTTTTTTAAGAATTATTTGAACTAAACAAAATTTACGTTTGTATAGTTCTTATTAGCATTTTCTGACATTTTTGATCCCTTTAGCTGTGCTTAGTTAGTGTGAGCAAAAGCCGTCATGGCGAACACGTAAGTAAAGCAATATTTACATAATTTTGAAAGTACTGATTCAAGTTAAATAATTATTTTATAGTCCAGTTGGGCCACCATTTGCAACAAATTTCCTCCCACTTAAAGTTGCGCTTTTAGGTGGATTAATGTTTAGGAAAAGTTGTTTAGATTTTAAGGCCTAAAATACACTTTACCATAATAAGTTTTGTGATAACATTCAACAATAGGAAAAATAAACATCTAAAATTTCAAACTCATTTTTTAAAATCTTTATTTAGTCATAAAAAATATTTTTTTACTTAATTGACTTCAAAAGTAAAGTAAAGTTACAGCATATATACGTCCTACTGCTGGGCACGGGCCTCCCCTCATTTCTGAGAGGGTTTTAGGGCAAGGAAGTGTCCGCCACGCTGCCCCAATGGGTGTTGGCGTACTTCACATGTCTTCGAAATAATTTTTTTCTTATTCCTCAGAGATGCAGGTTTCCTCACGATGTTTCCCTTCACCGCCGAGCACGTGGTAAATCAGCACTTAAAATTGCAATTAACAATTTCATTGGTGCCGGCGGGGATCGAACCCGGGTTACTCGGGGTTCTGTTATATTTACAGCAAACGTTAACCATCTGAGCTACCACGGCTCTTAATCTCTTAATTATCTTTACCATCTTCGAATGCATAACTTATAGACTGTACTTACCATCAGGTGGAATAGTAGAAGTCAAATACTGGTTTAGAATTGTAAAAACAATCTAAATGATCTTAAAATAAAGAACATATCATGTCCAATGTGTTGAAATAGTTAATTCACATGAAAATAATTCTTAAATATTTTAAAAGTCTGAAGTGTGAAAGATTTGATAACATTGTTTTGATGAGATAACTTGATCTCTTCACTAGGCTTCATTTTAAAATACTGAGAAAGTATAGCCGCGTCTAAAAATAAAATGCAAGAAGTTTCTCCTTTCGTCGCAAAAAGATTTTGTGATCTTTTTATATCGGTTCTTAGACAGGTTTTGTCTGACTGACGCAGCAGGGTATCTCTTGCTAAGAATTTAAGCTGTGTTTTTGTTTTATTTGTAGTTTAAGTCGCGGTAGCTCAAGAGCTAAGCGTACGCCTCGGGTTTGATTCCCGCCGTCACGAATAAAATTATCAATCGCCATTTAAAGTGTAAATTTACCACGTGCTGGACAGTAAGGTAAACATCGTGAGGAAACAAGGACTTCGAGGACATGTGAAATCCACCAGTCGGGCGGCGGACAAATTATTTTATAACCCTCTCAAAAGTGAGAGGTTGTCTGTGCCCAGCTATGGGATATATATATATATATATATATATATATATATATATATATATATATATATATATATATATGGCTGTTACTTAAATCTTAATGAAAACCGAAGATGCTATGATAATAGGAAAAAATTAGTTTCAAAATATTAAAGGTGAACCTAGTCTGATAGAGAGCATCCGCATTTTGTGTGACTGTCACTCGAGACATAAGAAGCCCCGCTTCAAGCTTGTCACTTACATATGCCACTTATGCCTGCCTGAGTACAGAGTGCTGTGCAATCGCGTGGTAAATAATTTGAGTGGCCGGAGAACTGTACTCAACTTACTCAGAAAAGTATGTTATTCCCGTGATTACAACTCAGTTGAGCTAAGTTTGCACTTCACTGAAATGAGACGCCTTTGTCGCTTTCCAGTGGTATGTAGATAATTTAAAGTACCTAACAGAGTAGAAATATATTTAAATAGACTACCTACTATAATGTGAGAAAAATACATTTGTTTCAAAATGATGTTTTTTTTTTGCAAACCGTACGTGTTTGTTGTGTATGCAGAATGTTCTACATCGATGCATGCTCAAACATTCATCCATGTTCCAAAAAAGGCTCTTTAAAAAATATAAAGCACACAGCTGGCTTGAAAAAATTACGACACAAGTTTGACTTGTATTATAATCCTAATGTCTAATAATTCCTCCAACGCTGCTAGTCAAGTTGACTTTCTACATTCGCGAACTTAAAATAGAAAACTATAAAAATGAATGGGAATGACAAATATTCTCAATGTTAAGTCACTTGACTTAAATATAGAAAAAATATTTACGACCTATAAGTCTTAAAAAAAGATGGAGATAAAGTGTTTTATTTGTTTTAATAAATGACGTTAACGATTGCAGAAATTTAATTTTGCTAATCGCGCAGATATCCCGAAAGCTGTTTATTTTTTCTCGGTTCTTTTTTTTCCCTTGACGTCTGTCTGGGTTGCGGTACCCTTTTGGGTGGTACCCTTTTACCTTTTTTATATGTAAGAGGAGGCAAAAGTGCATACGGCTCACCTACATATGCCCCTGAAATCCAGTTTAACCACTGAAGTATCAGGTTTCAATTGGTAAAAAAGTCTCACTGAAATTTATGCACCTCTAGAAATGTAAGTTCTGTCTGTGATTCCAATAAAATAGTAGTAGTAGTAAACAATAGTTGCTCCAATTAATTAAGTGAATATCCACCTTTTTTCCTCTTAATTGAGGCAGACGGCCCTTTGACCATTGTGCCAAAATATCACATTTTATTGTTATATCATGATTTTAATATAAAAAACTAAAATCACATGTCCCACCAGCATGTGAAAACTCATTACATACCATTGGAATTTAATCTGTGGTAAGGTGCATTCAAATATAAGAACAGTTAAGAGCTCATTGATATGGAATCTATAGTGATACCCTATCGATTGCTTATAGATAAATAATAATTTAATTTACGACGTTGTAGCATGAATGAGTCGGCTCAACCTGGGATATCCCAAGAATATCAGCGTGAAATGTTTTAGACCAGCGTGAACTTAACGGCTTCGCAGCGCAGTTGCTATGCAATGAGCCACGCGTTCGAATCCCGCACGATACAAGTATTTGTATGGCCTATAAATAATTATTCCGGTTCTGGATGTTCGTCCTTGTGAAATTTATATATGTAAACGTCCAGTCTCGATAAGATTATAATATATTATATATATATAAATGCCTCCACGATACAGAAGTGAATCCTAGTGCGAGGGTAATTGATAAAAAGTTATTGCTACTGTATTTCGTATGGTGAGTAGAGAATCGGAGATCATTTTCACTAGAAACAAGGAATTTCATCTTGTTTTAGAGGGTAAGAACGTAGAAAATAGAGACACACGTAATCGGAGTAAAATACAGACGCTGGCAAACTATTTCACTCCTTTGCCTTCGCATTATGAACGACGAAGCAAACAGTTAAGTTTAAATATATAGTATTTAGCGTAAATCAAAGGAATAATTTTTACGACAACAAATCTTTATATTTAATCGTTGGTGCGTCTGTGATCGCATAACTTCTGTACGACTTGGGATCGTATTTAAATAGTGAATTTGCTTTGTTGATACGATAGTTTATAGTTTTATATTATAGAACCCTGAAGTCAATTTATATACTTACAAATTCCTTATTAGTGGACATTTGATATTCTTGTTGTTTGTTATATATGTTAGTTTAGTTTTAAAAAAATCATAAAATCTAGACCAAATAGGCTATGATCGAGTTATCAACACTGTAAAACTGTAAAAATTCCGGAGTGAATTCAGAGTGTTACTCATCGCGCCATCTACCGGAAAGCACAGAACGTCTGCCAGGCCAACTAGTTTTTATTTAAAATGTTATTACCGTATGGTATTTACTTTGCCTTTAATGGCAGCTAATCAGTGATATTTGAAAGTGTAATTTTATGACATTTAAGTAGCCGATAAATATTAAACTTCTATTATGTGCAAAAACTTGTATTATGTAATTGAATTATTAATACAATAGTTGATTTATACGATCACTCAAAGCGGTTCTCATACCTTATATGGGTCGAGTCAGCTCGAAGTTAGGTCAGCTGGAAGCTGCATGATATACGCATATTTAATGTATTTATGCATGGTAGAACCACGCTGCATCTATATTATGGTTGTAGCACGAATGGGTCGGCTCGACCGGGGACGGACCACGCTTTCACAGAATACTAGCGTAAAATAACAATTTAATACTGCTATGTTTCGTATGGTGAGTGTAGAGAATCGGAGACCCTTTTTACTGGAAACGAGGCATGCCTCTTAGTCCTGAGAGGTGACAACGTTTGATTCTTAATCGAGGATAAATGTAGATGTCTATGGGCCACAGCCTCCACTTACCAACAGGTGGACTGTGTGCTAGTTTGTCACCCTTATTCTATAAAAAAATTATATTTTATTAAAAGTTTTTTTTAATCTAAATACCTCTATTCCGGAAAGAACTAGTATGACGGACTCCTGGGCAAAAATGAACTCCTCCGGTCTAGTTAACCTGTAAGAAATGATAGACTTTGTACGGACTACGCGTTCCAATGTACGCATAATCTGGGTATGTTGAATACGCGTACAGCGCACCTTCATGCATTGCGGGATTATGACCGCGTGGTGACAAGTCGCAAGTCGACCAGCCAGTATCCTCCATGTCTTCACACAGCTGTCGTCTGCACCACTACTGCGTTACTTCTCATTGTGGAACCAAAATTCAATTGGCGCCGACTCGCCGCGAGTCGACACGCGTGCTTAAATTGTATACACGTTGCTGCAGCTACGGACTAGCGTTCCTGTGTACGCGTAACTGATTACGCGTACCTTGGAACGCTTAGTCCACACAAGGCTATATAAATATCTTACCATCCCCAATAGAAGTGTTCAAGTTCCACTATCCAGTGCAAGCCATATGTAAAATCAAACCGCTTAAGGATAGCAGCGACAAAGGTACTACATGACTATTTTACCGTACTTTTGGTTAAGTATGCAATTTAAATAAATAATTGCTACAATAAGTGCTTATTTACCACGTGCTCGACGATGAACGAAAACATAATGAGGAAATTTGCAAGTCTAAGAAATTTAAAAAAAATTCGAACATAATATGTGACGGCTGTCACCACAAATTGACACAGCACGGCGGACATTTCCTTGCTCTAAAACTCTCC